AGGCCTCAGGTAGTGTTGTAATTTTTAAAATTTTCAAGGCTTGTTTGGTATATTTGGGTCCATTAAGAAGTCAATTGGGGTTTCTCCTAGAATTTGAATAATATAGGGTTTTTTTCTTCATTTTTTAGACCCCATTTATTGGCTTAAATGTAATACCCTAAACCCTTAAAAAACCTTACCCAAAACTTTTGAAAACTTTTGAGAAAGGGGATGAGTTGTAGAGAATTCATATAACAATGAAAGGTTGTCATATGAGCTGTTGATTTACAGTTTGCGAATCTACAACTACAAATAAATGTCCAGCATTTCGCTTTTGGTTTTCTTTTTCTTATAAAAATTAGCATGTGACTCCAAATATTCCTTTCCTTATCAAGATGAATAATTCTTAGACGAATAAATAATAATTATGAATAATGTTTATATAAAAATATTTATATATGCTTTTTCAAACATATATGGGAACAAAACAAACAATCACGCCATAAAGAGAAAGTATATTTTTAAAGCTTTGTCATGGAAATGACGAGGACGAAAGAAATGGATTAGACCGTAATTAAGCCGGAAAGGAAGAAGAGGTATTCATGGCTGTTTTCTACACTTGGCAACAATAATTCAATGTATTCCACGACTCACCCTCTGAATCCATTCATCAACTTCAAAGCGGATAAGACCAAACCTCAGTTGCCTCCGTCAATAAATTTGCATGCAACCAACACGCACACACCACAACACACTCTCTTTACTTTCCACATCTTCTCTCACTCAAGAAATTTCCCCCTTTTCCCCAGCAGAGCGACATAGAGAGAGAGAAAGAGAGATTGTAGTCATGGAAGTTGAAACCATGAAGTCGCCGTCGCAGAAGGCAGCAGCCCCGCTGACGAAAATCATATTAGTAGCCTCAATTGCCGCCGGAGTCCAGTTCGGGTGGGCCCTACAGCTCTCCCTCCTCACGCCCTACATCCAGCTCCTCGGTGTCCCCCACACGTGGTCCGCCTTCGTCTGGCTCTGTGGGCCCATCTCCGGGATGATCGTCCAGCCCATCGTCGGCTACCACAGCGACCGCTGCACCTCCCGCTTCGGCCGCCGCCGCCCCTTCATCGCAGCCGGCGCTGGCCTCGTCGCCGTCTCCGTCTTCCTCATCGGCTACGCCGCCGACATCGGCCACCTCAGCGGTGACTCCCTCGAGAAGCGGACCAAGCCCCGCGCCGTCACCGTCTTCGTCGTCGGGTTCTGGATCCTCGACGTCGCCAACAACATGCTGCAGGGTCCGTGCCGCGCTCTCCTCGCCGACATCTCCGGAGACGACACGAGGAGAATGCGGACCGCCAACGCCCTGTTTGCATTCTTCATGGCGGTCGGCAACGTCTTCGGGTACGCGGCCGGGGCCTACTCCCACCTCCACAAGATGTTCCCCTTCACCATAACCAAAGCATGCGACGTCTACTGCGCCAACCTCAAAAGCTGCTTCTTCCTCTCCATCACTCTACTCCTCGTCCTCACCATCGTGGCCTTGACGTCGGTGAAGGAAACGATGCCGAATGACGGCGTTGTCGCGGAGGGGGAGATCGAGCCGGAGTCAACGACAGCTAAGTCCGTGCCATTTTTCGGTCAAATGATTGCGGCGTTCAGGGAGCTGCAGAGGCCAATGCTGGTGTTGCTTCTGGTGACGTGTCTCAATTGGATTGCGTGGTTCCCGTTCTTGCTGTTCGACACTGATTGGATGGGGCGGGAGGTGTACGGAGGCCAAGTTGGGAAGGGGCGGTTGTACGATTTGGGGGTGAGGGCTGGTGCGCTTGGGCTGATGCTAAACGCCGTCGTTTTGGGGTTCATGTCGCTTGCCATTGAATCTCTGGGCCGGTGGGTTGGTGGGGTCAAGCGATTGTGGGGCATTGTCAACTTCCTGCTGGCTATCTGCTTGGCAATGACTGTTTTGATCACTAAATTGGCCCAATCGAGTCGTCACGCTGCTATTGCTGCCGGGCATGGCGGAGCTGAGCCCCCGCCGCCAACTGCTGGTGTCAAGGCCGGTGCACTGACGCTGTTTGCGGTGCTGGGTATTCCTCAGGCGGTAAGTCACCGTTAATTACTCTATAAATCTAATTTTGGTAAGTCTATCGCAATATTAGATATTTATTACCAAATATTTTGATCGATCTTTGGTGGATAATGATACTGTAGATTAGCACAAAATAATTATGTGCATAAATTTTTGTTCTAAATTTGGTACAAAATGATTAACTTGTTAGAAAATTGATTTACAAATCTTAAGGATTTTTCTACCAAATTTAATGTTTTACATTTGATATCTCTCTTGGAAATCCTCTTACGAGGGGCATGGTGAAGCCACTTCTAGACCTGAAGTGGCCCCGTACCCCTCATATTTTTATTATTCATCTATTATATATAATATAATATATAGAATTTGCATTAAACAACTTAGAATTTAAGTTAAAATTTCCTCTAAAACAAATTAAACATGATTCAATTAGAAATATTTAGTTCTAAACATATAATTATTGAATACTTAAGTGTTTCATATACTTGTATTTTATATTTCGGCCCTCCAATTTTACAATTCTAGCTCTGCACCGTATGGGTAGAGTCAAACTTATCCATTATATCCATGTGCGTGTTTTGTTTTATCCCATGGTCATTTAGTGCATGCAGATAAGGTTTTACTCACAATAGACACATCTTACCAAACGCATTTACTAAAAACATTTACTAGGATGAGAGAGAGTTATCTGTGCCATTTAATTGCATGAAGTCCGTTTGTCCTGGACCAAAATTGAAGGCATCTAGCATGGGGTTTTATAATTTGGTGTGCATCTGCTTTTCTCTTTCTCTTCTTATATAGTTTTTTTTGGGGGGTCCACACCACATGTTATTCTATCCCTTTATCAACAAGTTTTCCTCATTAGTATATTTTCTTAAATTAAACATTGCCAGATGGCATTCCACAGATTAAATGTATCCATCCACAGTATATATTATGTACACATTTGGAAATTAATTTCAGAGGAATATTTATTTATATTTGAATATATTGTTTGATAATATATTAAAATAGGAATTACCTATGAAATCATGGTTTTGTTTAATGACTTCCGCTATTATCTTACTTTACAGGTGACCTTCAGTATTCCCTTTGCTCTGGCATCCATATTTTCTAGCACTTCTGGTGCAGGCCAAGGTAAAGCAGCTTCTCCCTAATTAATTATGCAGATTCTTGAGTAGAATATATTTTGTTCTGAATCATCTATTAACATTTGGGTATTTGAATTTTGTCACAGGGCTTTCTTTGGGAGTCTTAAACCTTGCAATTGTCATACCACAGGTAATGCATGCTTTCATGATCACTTATGATTAAGCTTGGTAGCGAAAATTAGCTTAGTTATTTACGCACGAAACCCTAAACCGTAAACCCTAAACTTAAGTATTGAATTTGCAGATGTTTGTGTCAGTAACAAGTGGACCTTGGGATGATTTGTTCGGAGGCGGGAATTTACCAGCGTTTATTGCAGGAGCCGTAGCGGCTGTAGCAAGTGGAGTATTGGCTCTCTTTATGCTTCCATCTCCGCCGGCTGATCTGCCGTCTAATAAAAATGCAAGACCTATAGCTGTTGGACTTCATTGATTTTCTTTGGCCCTGCTAGCTATAGCTAGTTATATAGTGGAGTTGATCAACTCTTTTTTTTTTTTAAATTTTAATTTTCGTTTTTGTTTTTCCCTTAATTTTCTTTGGCCCTGCGGCTGTAGCAGGTTTTGTATAATAGGAATCGAATGCTGTTTAACTATATTGCCAGCCTTTAATGGCATAGCAATTACTGTATCCATGCGCAAGCATCATATATAGTTGCAGTTTGTTCTTCGTTCTTCTCCTTTTTTTGTTTTCTCTTTTTTTATTGGTATGGTTGAAGTTGATCCCATAATTCTTGGGCTGTGTGTATATTGCTGCTTTAAGTAGTCTCTCTCTGGATTTTGGTAATTTCCGTATATATTTTCTATTCTTTTGCTAAGAAATTGAATTTGGTAATTTGCGTAAATGAGGAAGTCATTTGCTTTCGTTATTCTATTTTTTCATTTTCGTATGACAATCGTATGACAATCATTCCTTTTAAAAATAAACAATACAAATACAAATTCAATTCAAGACTATAAATGTTTTCTAATCTTCCAATGTGAGATTACAAATTTCACCTCAAACTTGCTTTCCAAAGCCAATAGGGGCGGCGACGCCCAAAGCGAGAAGTGCAGCGGTCGCTGTAGAACTGCATACAATGGGTGGGACTAGCAAGCCGAAAATGGCCATACGTAGCCATATGAAGGCATCCCATTTGTCCGGGACCCTCAGTTGCTGGACATAAAGGGTACGTAGGAAGAGCTGCAAGGCCCCCACCGAATTGGGTGCCGGCAGAAATGAAAGTAAGATGATTTTTCGGAGTGGGCTTGCCTTCAGTTGTGTTCTATGCCAAGTGTGAGAAGAAGAAGGAGGAGAGGAGGAGGGGAAGGTGGGATGAAGTACGCTTTCCTATAAAATTAAACAACTTTTAAACTCTGACCAAGTGTTTAAATAAGGGCCATTTTCTAATGACAGGGTATACACCCCTCGCAGTTGAGCTCCAGGTATGATTCACTCATGCATGTCAGTTTATAACCATATATATGTCTATCTGTGTCTTTATGGATACATCCATGTACTTATGTGTGTGATGGCAGATGCTTGAGAAAGTGTCTAAATAGAGGGGAATTGATTTGGCATCTCATATTGTTGCCAACATTAAATGCTCGTTTATGCTCCTAAACTTTAATTTTAGCTTTCTGATGCATGTGTATCTCCTCTTGACAGGCTAATGTTATTCGCAAAACCACTGTACTTGATGTTATGAGAAGACCTCTGCAGGTACGAAGCTTTGATTACCTTTTTTTATCTTCGACAAAGCAGAATTAAATGATTCCCTGATATTATTCTCATTTTGCAGAAAAAAATATAATGGTTTCCTCATATGCTCGAACAAAAGAAGCTAGTGAAGCGAAATACATATCAATATTAAACATCATTCAAGGAGAAGTTGACCCTACTCAGGTTGTAACAATAAGAGTATTATAACTTTCAAACCAGCAAAATCTATATTGATGAACATATTCATTATTCATTTCATGGTCATGTTTTACCATTAGAAACTTGAAATGAAATTGTGTCAATTATCATATATAGCTGTGTTGGCCAGATTCTATATATTATTATCTTAGTAATGCCTTGAATATTTGTGGAATTGTGACCCAGAATTTCTTGGTTGTTGTAGAAAGTTAAGCACCTCAGTTCCTCTTCAACTATATATTTTTTTACAGTGGTTTATTGTGCCTTTTTCGATGTAATCAGGTTCATGAAAGTTTGCAGAGGATACGTGAAAGAAAGCTTGTTAACTTTATTGAGTGGGGCCCTGCAAGCATTCAGGTTTTTTAACACAGTAAAAGAAAGTAAATTTGAGATCAATCTATTTTTTTTTAACACACTGTCTGGATATTTGATGTTTGATTTTCTGCTTTTCTGTGTAGGTTGCTTTGTCTAGAAAGTCTCCATATGTGCAAACGGCCCATAGGGTAGGTATCTAATTCTTACAACTATCGGAAATTCCCAATGTTTTCTGTAAGTTACCATCCCTATAGGAGAATGACTTCCTTTTTTACTTTTGTTTTTCCCTTCTTTCTTTTTATTCAGTTAGCATCGTTGGTGATGGATGAGAAACCTTTTCGAGTGTTCAAACTTTGTGGGATGTTTGAGATTTTTGTGTCTCATACAAGTATGACATAAAACTTGGACAGGAAAATGACCTTTCGGAATTTGACCAAATTCTTACAGGAGAAGGCAATGCAGCAGGAACAGTGGACCAAAATTGGCAGTATGAGTAAATCAGGTAAAGCTACAATCAAGGCCTCCTGTATAAATTTATCCGATTTTGTAAGACTAGTGTTTACCAACTCTCCCCTCGATCCCCCGTTGTCGTTTACTTTCATTTCAAAGAAACTAAAAGCTGCCTTAATGGTCTCATTTCCTTTGGTGTTTACACAGGATTGGAAGACTGATGCAGGTTAAGCCCTGGTGCCAAAAAGTACATTGGATGGAGCATTGTAAAATATGGATTAAATGTTGTGTTTGAGTTCTTCCTGAGTGAAGTGGTTTGTAATGTAAATATTTTGTGGGTGTTTTGATTTAGTTAATTATTAGTATGTTGAAGCAAAACTGGATCTTTTTGTGGTCCCAGTTCATATTGGTTCATGGAGCCTGATTTATTAGTAGCTGGTATATCATTTATTAGTTGAGATATTTAGTCATATACCAATTCTTATCACTAATAATATAGATAAACCCTGCACCATTTAATTTCTATAAACAAACCCAAAAAATGACAGTTGGCCCTATGTAATTTAATTTTGATTATTAAATTACTTTGATGCCCTATTGAGTGTTTTGGGCTTTCTAATAAGGTTTTGGAGTTGGATTTGTTTTAAGAAATCAATGGCAGTTTTGTAATTTAAAAGAAGTTAAAAGCCTTTTTGTTATGTTGTAAATGGACTTTGGGTGTGTTTTTAAAGTTCGTTTCATATGAGTTTTTTTTTAATAATTTAGACTCCTATATTGGGTATAATAGTGAATCTCCCTTATTATTTTGAGTACGTCAACCATGGGATTGAGCCTATGTGCCTTATAAAGCCCTAAAGTAGAAAAAAGAGACGATAAGCCCAAAAAGGTTATTTTCAACTGAAATGCTCATAATGTAAAGCGAGAATCATGGCATCACTCTTGTCACTAATAAGAATTAGTAATCCAATATACAGGTCGTTTAATTAGATAATGATCTCTTGTCCTAAGACAGGAGAAGAGGTTTCATGAAACGTGAATAATACTATTTTGCTATTTCCGATCAAAAATGTTATAACATGCGTGATGAAAATATTTTTACGTGGCATTACATTATTGGCTGGATACAGCAAAATAGTGTTATCTCTGTTGCAACTAAGTTTTTCTCCCAAGCGACATCAAACTAGCTAGATAGGTGGCATAACACCAGTTTTCAAATGACCAATTAACACACTCCATAAGTCAACCGATGGTTGGAGCCATGCTAGTAAAAAACAATATAAATAGCCAAGACCTTCCACCAACAAATGTAACGTGGCCTAAGTTTGCAAACACATGTATAATATGAGAAAAATGCAAGTGACAATAGCATATATATAAAAAGTAAAAACATATGAAAGTTTTGAGATAAATAATATATTAAGGTGGGGAAAATGAAGAAATAAAACTTTGCTTGTTGGTAGACTTACTTAGATGGGTGTAAAAGTGTGGTTTTGAGTAGAGTATGACTTTTTCTTTTACCATAATTCTAGAGTTCACTTAACAACATATCACTACTCCAAAATAGTTAAACCACCACACAAAATAGACGACGGTGCATCTTAAAACCGTCGTTATGTTTTAAAAGACGACGGTATTTTTAAAACCGTCATGATATATCATCTTATACACTACTAGCGTTAGATTGATTTTTAAAAGACGACTCTTGTCACTAACAAGCGTCGTCTTTTAAAACACGCTGAACAAAAAAAAGGCCACTTGATTTTTAAAAGACGATGCTTGTTAAAAATCAAGTGGCCTTTTTTTGATAAAGACACGGTTTTTTTGAAAGAATTGTCGTCTATTATATCTAAAGATGACGGTTTGTTTTAAAACAGGGTCGTTTATTATGAAGTAAAGATGAAGGTTTTTTTTAAAAAATGGTCGTCTATTATATCTAAAGATGACGGTTTTTCTTAAAACAAGGTCGTCTATTATGAAGTAAAGATGACGGTTGTTTTAAAAAAGGGTCGTCTATTATATCTAAAGATGATGGTTTGTTTTAAAACAGGGTCGTCTATTATGAAGTAAAGATGACGGTTTTTTTTTAAAAAGAGTCGTCTATTATATGTAAAGATTACGGTTTTTTTTAAAACAGGGTCGTCTATTATGAAGTAAAGATGACGGTTTTTTTAAAAAAAGGAGTCGTCAATTATATGGAAAGACGACGGTTTTTTTTAAAAAAGAGTCGTCTATTATATGTAAAGACGACGTTTTTTTTGAAAGAATTGTCGTCTATTATATGTAAAGATGACGGTTTTTTTTTAAAAAGCGTCGTCTTTTAAAACACGCTAAAAAAAGGCCGCTTAAGTGAATTCGCGCTCGACAAATTTTCAAATTTTCCCCCGTCTTTGAAAACCTTATCTCTCATTAACAAGCGTCGTCTTTTAAAACACGCTAAAAAAAAGCCGCCTAAGTGAATTCGCGCTTGACAAATTTTCAGATTTCCCCCTGTCTCTAAAAACCTTATCTCTTCCTCCTTGAAACCCTCCTAAGCTTTCTAAAACACTCTCATGAAAGGTTTGATTTGAAAGTCACCTAATCTCTCAATACCCTTCTATATCTTGCTAGTGAATTCTGGATTAGTCTCTTTGCGTTTCTGGTATGTTCTTTGTCTCCCTGATTTCAGATTTTCTGTCTCTCTTGATTTGTCTGGTTTGTTTACATTTTTTATTTATTTCTGGTTTCTTTTTAGATTTTCTGATTTGGTTCCCAGGGGATGAGGAGGAAGCTTGCAGATTTATAACTTTTTCTTTTGCAGGTTTTCTATGTGAGTCGTATGTTTTTTTGTTGTTGAAAATTTGTTACCTTCTCTTTTCACCATAATTTTTTTATATATTTTTCCTTTTGCAGGTTCTCGATGGTCTTTTTTATGCTCATTTTACAAGTTTTCTATGCTCATTTTACAAGTTTTCTATGGAAATATGGTCCAATGGTAAAATTTCTCTTCCACCTAATTTTATATGTTTATAATCTTAGCTTTTTTTCTCTCTCTGTCATTTTGATTTTTTTATAGGGATGATGGAGGAGACTTCAGTTGTGCATCATTTGTATGTTTGGATGAGGAAGGCTTGGATTAGGAGTACGTAGGTCTTGTTAAGTAAAGATTGTACTACTTAATTGGTAGGAATTATGTTTGTTGTAGAATAAAGATTGGTTAACAATGTAATAACTATTGAATCTTCAAGTTTTATGAAAGAAACTATTTTTGAGTGTATATATTCATTAATAAAGTATCATGGTTGGTTTTCCAGTTAAAATCGTTGTATAGCATCATATGAAATCAAAAAGAACAAAACTGTAGTAGTTTGGGAACTTATTAGACGACAGTTTTCATAATAAATCATGGTCTTTACAGATAATTAACGACAGTTTTTATAAACCAACCGTTGGCTTTATAGATAATTAACGACGGTTTTTATAAAAAGTCATCGTCTTAACATACAATCCACGACGGTTTTTATAAAAAACCGTCATCTTAACCTACAATCCATGACGGTTTTCATAAAAAACCGTCATCTTAACCTACAATCCACGACGGTTTTCATAAAAAACCGTCATCTTAACCTACAATCCATGACGGTTTTAATAAAACCGTCGTCTTTCCTCCTATAATTAACGATCTTTACCTCTAAACAACGACGATTTTCTTTAAAAATCGTCGTCTTTACAGATAAACAACGATGGTGAAAAGCCGTCGTAGTTTGACACCCAAAAAGATGGCGGTCGATTTAACGACGATTTTCAAAGCATTATAACGACGGTGGATCCCCGTCGTCTATTTCGTTTTTTGTAGTAGTGTATTAAACTTGCTATTTGGGAAGAATTTAGCAATGCTTATGAACTTTGAATTTTAATTAACTTTGCTCCTTAATAATATAATTATAACAGTAAAGTACCTTAAGGACAGAAGTCTGATCAATGCATAATTACATATCATTTTGTACTATCCTAGCTTATCTTTTGGTAGTGGTTTTGGATGAAACTTGTGCTTTTAACCCTCTTTTGTCTTGGTTTCAGTTAAGCTTTAGGACTCATTTAATGCATTTTGGAGTCAAGATAGCTCAAAATTGTTTCTCCAGATCAGTCAACTTCATGGATTAGACTGTACGTGCTTAGGAAACAGTAAATAAGTCTACTATTTATTTAGCTAGTATTAACATGGTAGAATATAGAGAACTGCTTTTAGAGTATAACAAAAAAATTATCACAATTACTCTAGGATTTATGAAATCTATAATCAGATAGCATAACAGATTGAAACAGAAGATAATGGCAACTCATACTGGAATAGTTTAGGAGAAAAAGAGCTACACAATATAGACAACCACTAGTAAAAAAAAAAAACCTTGTGCGACCAACTTTTGTGCGACGACAAAACATTTGTCGCGCAAAGTGACTTTGTGCAACGAAACCCTAAACTTCGTCGCTAAAAGTATTACGCGACTAAATTTTTCGCAACGAAATACAATCGTCGCCCAAAGTCACTTTGCGCGATGACAAAACATCGTCGCACAAAGTCTTTGCAAAAAAATTTTTAAAAAAACTTATTTTTTAAAATCTTTGCATGACTTTGCGCGACGAAGCACTAAATTTGTTGCACAAACTATTGCGCTACCAAGTGTAGTTCGTCGCGCAAAGTATTTACAAAAATAAATAAAATAAAGTAATTATTTTTTAAATTCTTTGCATGACTTTGCG